TCTGGGATGGTGTAATCTAGAAAGGAGTAAATGTGGAGGGATTGATCCCTACTTTTTCCTCTGGCTAGGCTATGAACATTTTAGACAACTCAAAATATCGAATCAAATAATATCGGTATTGATGACCTTGTTTTTTAGATTTAGAAAGAGAATTGAAAAGGGACACACCGTAAATCCTATTACTAGAGCTAGCCCTATTTTGTCTCTTGCACTGTATATAGAAGATCTAGATATTTTACAATGGCAAAACTACGATGTAAAAATAATTTCCGATCTTTATGATAGCGAAACCTTAAGATCTTTTTCCAACTTGCAGGAAAGGTATGCTCTTCCATCACAAGAAATATTTAAATATATTAGGATTAAATATTTTCTTCAGATCTAACAAGTCATCCAGAATTAATAGACATTCTTCATACTACACAACTTAACTCTAAAACAATTACTATAATTGGTAAAATTCTAAATAAGAGAACTATCTTAAGCTAAAGCTGTTTTAAGTTGGGAGAGAGATTGTGCTTTTACTGTTTCTTCAGAGATCTGGATAAAATTTTGATAATTTTTGTTGGCGTTGCCAAAATTATCCAGGCACACAAATACAACCCATTTGGTGGGAATGCCCGAGACTGGCTCCTATCACAAAATTTCTTGAAGAACATCTGATAACTCTCTTCTCATTGGAATATAGCGTTACGCCACAAGCTTTCCTGTTTCATATCAATTTACCTGTTAGAGGAAAATATAATAGATATCTATGTGTTAACATTTTGGCTGCAGCGAAAATGTGTTTAGCTAGACATTGGAGAAATACAACCACTCCAACAGGGATCGAAATAAAAACTCAAATAAATTTACAGAGAGAGGCAGAAAAATTATACTTTAATAACAATATAAAGACGCTATATAAATACAAAAAAATATGGGATCCATGGATTTTATACTATGAAAGTTTCAGGCCAGGCCAGTGACCTGTTGAATTAACCTACCCTGTAACTTATCTACCCCCAAGACTACCCCCCCTTTACAGAGCCTTGAGAGATAGTGAGGGAAGGGGAAAGGGAGACAACTTTTTTTGCATAACTGCAATAATTATTGGAGGATGGAGTTTTTATTTATTTAATGCATTTTTTATTTTATTTTTTTGCTGAACCAATGTTATATTATTGGTATTATCTGTACTCCAGATAGACCCAGTATCCGTCCAAATTTTCTGTTTGGTTGTTGTAAGATTATATTTGTCTATACATACTGATTGAATTTTATCTACTATATGATTGTATAAATAATTGTAGATCAAGGTACTAATTCACACCTATAAAGCACTGAACAACTCTAGCCCCTCTTATATCTCCTCACAGATCCATAGGTATGTCCCTTATCGGTCTCTCCACTCTGCCCATGACCACCTCCTGTCCGTTGTCCGCACCCGTATGGACAACTCACGTTTGCAGGACTTCTCGCGGGTGGCTCCCTTCCTATGGAATAGCCTGCCTACCTCCATCATTCTCTCCCCTAGTCTTGCATCTTTTAAGAAGTGCCTTAAAACCCATCTCTTTAGGAAAGCTTATGGCCTCCCAGAGTAACCTCACATACCTGTCTCTTGCTCTCTCCTAAAGGGCATCCCACCTTATTTGCCTGCAAATTCCTGTCCTAATTTGTTTTACACCCCACCTCCGATAGAATGTAAGCTCGATTGAACAGGGTCCTCTTCAACCTATTGTTCCCGTAATTTTTTTTGTAATGGTCCTATTTATAGTTAAATCCCCCTCTCATAATATTGTAAAGCGCTACGGAATCTGTTGGCGCTATATAAATGACCATAATAATAATAACTAGAAAAGCTACAATTTCTGGGGAAATTGTGTGAAGTGTTCTTGCCTCCACCAGTAGTCTACAACTGCAGTGGGCGGAGTAACTGTTATCATTTAGATAGCACATTTAATTGCAACGTTGTTGCACAGTTACATTAAACCATACATTTATAAAACATTAGCAGGTGTTCAAAAGGCCCTGTCTATGACATCACTTGCTGCTGCAGCCTGGCACAGGTCAGAGTATTTTGGCGGTTGCCATCTTCAAACGGTCGTATTTTAAAAGCTATAAATCCTACAGCGAAGAGCTTTATATTGTGACCCAGACCTACATTTTGATGCATAGTATGTCTCTGAAGTATTAAAAATGAAGGCACAGTCGTAGTTTAGAAATTGCACTTCAAATTTGAGCTTTGTAGAGTGAAGTTTCAATGAATGTCAATGGACGGCGTTAGTTGCAAACAAATGATTATATTGTGAAAACTATCAGGACTATGGCTTAGCCGTTGACATGTTTAGTGGCAGCAGGGATAGCTGAACGTTTTGATATAAGATTTGTGTAGGTGGGCCTGAAAATAAGGGAGTGGTGGCAGTTTAGAAATCATGTCCTGATTTTTCAGCTTTTGCCAGCTCCCACTCTAGCTTTGCCATTCATTCCTATGGGACAAATTTCGCCACAAGAACGACGATATTCCGTGAACCATTCGGCGAAACGTTCCACAAAGTAATAGCAATCCGATCGGGAACAATCTGCACGTTTTGGTAAATTTTTGTCTATGTAGTGTAAAAACTGTGGGAGGAGTTAGGGTGGCAAATTTGGCTATAATAATAATAATAATAATATATATGTGAGATAACATTAAGTGGTCTTGCTATGCAAGAACACTTAATAATAATTATTATTATTCTGATTATACGCACTTGACTGTAAAATGTGAATGTGACTGTATGTCTATTTATATAACTTAAAATATGCAATAAAGATGAATTGTAAATTATTATTTTTTTTAAATTGAAATACATTATAAATTAAGGTAAATTACACTACTCTCATGTTTTACCATGGGAGGGCTGGCAGTGTTTCACAGGTGGCAAGTGCCACCCAGGCCACTAGCCCATATGGTTTGTGGGAAGAGCAGGATTAGCCAAAAGGCCGCCTTAATCAGCTGCTTTTGGTCCCAAGGTTAGACAGGAGCCACAGAACCATGAATTTTCTTGGTCCCATTCACTATCCTTATGTGATGAATGTATGGGGCACCCAACCCAGTAACCTACTTAGGGCAAAGGGTATCTTAATTCTTCTCTGACTGTGGGCTGCAACCTCACAATATCATTCTTCTGCTGATTAAAAACTATGGGAGTTGAATTGAGACGTTTGCTGACATAGTACTGCTGGAGAACATAGAGGAATGGTTTATGGTCTTAGCTAGTCCAAAACTGAATGGTTTTGCGCTTTGGATAATGGCCATTCTGCTATCAAAACCATATGTGTCATGTGAGTAGGATCATCCGTATAGATATCTGTTTTTTGCAGGAAAGGTATGCTCTTTGGATAATGGCCATTCTGCTATCAAAACCATATGTGTCATGTGAGTAGGATCATCCGTATAGATATCTGTGAATTTTGTGCATAAAAATGGCAGTTTTTTTTACATTTTCCTCCCAGGTGAAAAGGTACCAGCTCACTCATCGTTTGTACAGCAAAGTGTTCTATAATAGCAATATAGTGTCTAGTAGAAAAATAGGCATGGACGTGAATAAAGGTGCAAACGTTTTCAAACTAAGCAGGACTGTCATGGAATTTCAGCTTCCATGTCATCTATGCCCTGCTCTCTAAGGTTGAGGGTTAAGACCCATGCTAGATTAACAGTCAGACTTGGATTTTTTTTACATTTTAACTAAAACCATCTGAACATGTGTTCTGTATCGATTTTGTTTAATGCTTATATATTATTATTAGTTTGTATGGTGCCAAAATGTTCACATAAATTAAGTAAAGGGCATAGCCAAATCTAGTTTGACAAAGTGAAACAAACTAATCCAGAACATTTTGACAGTCCTGACAACACACTTACTAACTAAAAGAGAATGGAATAGGTGAAACACAAGCACCGTGTTTACTAAGCTTTGAATGTGCTTGCAGATTGAATTTCCCTCTATGGGGAAGTAGGAATTTACAATTTCTAGAGAGCCCTTTGAGGCCTTACGGGTATTTTTTTTTTTGTGTGTAAATTTTTTTTGTGCAGTGATACATTCACAGATTCTCATAAAATAGCAGGATTATTATTATTTTATTATTTATACAGTGCCAGCAAATTCCGTAGTGCTGTACAATGGGATAATGTAATACCTGCATAAGTATACCATTCAGAAAAACATAATAAAAACCAATGTCAGGTTGTCATTAAATAATAGGCTGCACATTTTGAAATAACAAAATATAGTAAGCACAAACTGAGTATTATCACATAAACACTATTTTAGCTAAGTTACTAGACTAGAATGACCCCTGGGAGAAAGGATTTATTGCCAGATACATATCATTCAAGAAGGCAATGTTCTCCTATGCCCTCCGAGAGCAGGGTCCCACAACTGAGCCAACAGCCAGTCTCATATAAAGAGTGGTTACCACAGAGCCCCATGAGCTGCTTCATCATCACCTTCAACACTAGACCAGTTGGCTGGTAGGTACCAAACCCATGCATCCCTCAGTAGAACTTAGAAGTGATAGTGGTACCGGCCCCAGTCCTGCTTACGTGGACAGTGTTGCAATGTTCTGGGCCACTGGAGTATTACACCTTGGTAAACAGGTGCATGCTCTTGGGTATGCTGACCCTGATTGTGAGGAACACACAGCGGTAGGGTCGACTGTAAGGCAAGAATCTGTGACTCATCCAAAGACCTACTGGCAGGTTTGATGCCTGGACCAAAAGTAATTGAACAGCTTAGCCAGGATAGGGCACACCTTGTCACAGGAATCTGCTGAGTCCATGGCATCCACTATTTTAGAAAAGACTAGAGTAGTGCAGGCTACTAGTTGGTATGACTGGCAGGGGCGGGCTGGTTCGGGGGGGCAGGGCAGCAATTGCCCCTCAGGCCACCCTAAATAATTTTAAAATGATTAAAAATGAGGCGGCTCTCTAATTAGGCGGTTAAGGCCAGGCAGCATGGAGGGGCCTCGCACCCGGCGGCATACTGAGCAAGTCGCCTGGCCCCCTCCTGGTGTCGGACCTGGCACAGTCTGCCCTAAGGTGGTTTAGGCGGCCACGTGGCCGCCTAAACCACCTTAGGGCAGACTGTGCCAGGTCCGACACCAGGAGGGGGCCAGGCGACTTGCTCAGTATGCCGCCGGGTGCGAGGCCCCTCCATGCTGCCTGGCCAGAGAGCGCCATAACCCCCCTCCCTCTCACCATCGCCTCCCTTCCCTTACACAATCACCCCCCTGCCTCTCAACAATAACCCCCCTGGATTTGCCCCCCAGGCCTAAGGCTGCCAGCCCTCCCCTGACGAGTGGTTACCATAATACTAGCTGTATGTGCCAGGATAACTCCCAATTCGTGGAGGAGGTGAAAGAGTGTGGAGAATACACTGTGGATGTCAACTAAATTATTATTACTATTATTATTTTTGAACACAGAGATCTTATTATAATTTGAGTCAAATTCATCATTGTGGAGATTCGAAAACTAGGCAAGTGACACTTACCCCAAAATTCAATGACAATATACAATGACATGGGCAAGAGAGTAGAGAGATTATGGCGTGTAAACAATCCTGTGAATTGTATTATACAATGTGTGGTAGTATGCTTTGGTACAGGAGCAGAACAATCTAAGATTTAATGTCTTATAGGAGGAAAAACTAATTTGTAGTGATAGACATATATCTAGGAAACAGTCTCCTCTACGCTTCCTAAGGTATTAGATATTAGGAGAACTTTAGAAGAAACTTTCCATCTTGACTGTCATGCTACTTTCTTCTGAAAGATCTTCAATAAATATTGCTGACATATCTTCACACAGTAATTCCTGTAAAACTTACTACAGCTTAATAAAAAAAAAAAAGATTTTTCATTGTTATTTTAAACTTATTAATAGAAAACAATTTTCAGGTGATAGTGACACATTAAGATGTTATTTACCCCATTTCCTGGCAAATCACTTATTTCACTCTGCCTGCAATTCTTGTGAAGTTATTACACAGCTGTTGTTTACGGCCAGGAAACCTGGTCCTGTCTCACACGTTAACACTTAACCTAGTATTAAGCTAAGTACTGCTATCTGCATTCAGCAAATAGTGCAACCACTCAATAATTGCTCCCTTCACTGTCTGAATTATTACTTGTATGGCATAATATCCATAATCACTTAGTACATTAAGAACACCTTTTAATTTCCTCTGTGAACATTTCCTTGATAACCAATTCTACCTTGGACAGTAGCATATAAACGAGAGATTATTTGGACAGTCATTTTTTGGTGACACACAGGAGGCAATGCACTCTCTCTGCTTTTAAACGTTTTGCATTATAATGGGAATGGGTCATTGCTTTAAAAGCATACTATAGCAACCAAAATAACTTTAGCTTAGTGAAGCAGTTTTAGTATATATATATCATGCCCCTGCAGTCTGCTCAATTCTCTGCCATTTAGGAGTTAAATCACTTAATTTATACAGCCCTAGCCACACCTCCCTGCATTTGACTTACACAGCCTTTTGAAATACTTCATGTAAAGAGTCATCTAATTAAACAGAATTTGCATTTGACTTACACAGCCTTCTTAAAGAGTCATCTAATGTCTACACATTGTGTTTAATTTCAAATTTCTTATCTCATGCTCTGTTAATAGCTTGACAGACCCCGCAGGAGCCTCCTGTATGTAATTAAAGTAAAATTTACACAATAGGAGATACAAACTTTTAAAGTAAGTCACATCTGATTGAAAATGAAACCATGTTATATTCATGCAGACTGTGTCCGTCACAACCAGAAAAGGTGTGGCTAGGGCTGCATAAACAGAAACAAAAGTGATTTAACTCATAAATGGTGTATAATTGAGCAGTGAGACTTCAGAGGCATGATCTTTACACTAAAACTGCTTCATTAAGCTAAAGTTGTTTTGGTGACTATAGTGTCCCTTTAATGTTCCAGTGAATGAAGGCTGAGAGTCTGAGGTGAAGGACAGCTTTTTTAGTATGCACACATCTCGGCTATATCAGACAGTTGTAGCTCTGAACTATTATGTTTAACAGTTAATGGCCATAGGGAGCTCCACTGATGCATCAACTTGTTACTTGACAGAGACATGAGCCTTCGGTGTCTTAGGCAGTAAGAACATCCTGTCAAGATGTATCTCCTTTACCTGTTTAGGACACCAGAGACCTGCAAAAAGTTAGCTTAGTCAGTTGGGCTTTTCAGGCATGTCATCATTTTGACAAGCCCCTCATTTTTACATGCTTCCACCTGTGTTTGTCGGCCATCGTGGCTATACGATGCTTGAGCTTCATGTGTGCATTTTGTACTTCTGAGACAGTTTGCTCACATTGAGCAGTTTGATACATTGGAAGTCAACCCTCTTTTACATAATTTTGCCCTAGACTTCTGTTAAAATTTTCCTGTAATTGCGAAATAATAGCGGAGATATTCCAACTGTGATCAGGCAGCAAGACATTTTTAATACACATTTATTAGACTTGTTTGTAATTATGGTCAATGCAGCTGTAAGAACAAAATGACATTAATCTTTTATGTACAGCCTCTAAGCCAGTACTACTTGGTCACGTAAAAGATTACTAGGAAGAGAATGAGATTATCCTAAACATTGATACAACTGATCTTAACACAATCAGAAGAAACTCAATAGGGTCTGATTGCATGTTGGATGTGGAGGGGAATATGATTTGCAGAACAGAAAAGAGTGAAAAGGGACATGATTTGTGGCAAAGCAAGGAGTAAGAATTACATTATATATGGAGTGGGGTGAGAGAGAGAGGGAGTAAAGAAAATTAAAATTTGAAAGGGTAGTTCATGGGTCGTCAACCTGGTCCCTACCGCCCACTAGTGGGCGTTTCAGGATTCCAGGTGGGCGGTAGGGATTTCAGAGATTGAGTAGGCGGAAGGGAGGGCGGGTGCGAACAAGGGGTCCATCGGGTGGCCCATGCTGTCAGGGCCACCCGATGGATGTGGATTGAGACGGGGCCCGGTCAGCGCTGGGCGCTTTAACAGCGCGACCGGGCCCCCTATTATTACATCACACGCTGGGAGGAAGTGACTGCACGTCACTCCTCCCAGCTAAAACTGAGAGCCGCGCGGGAGGAAGACCAGGGAGTGAGAGTGGGAACTCTGACTCCCATGCACCTGAGCCACCACCTGCACCTAAAAGGTAGGAAACAGGAGGGTGACAAAAATATTTTGTGTGTGTTTGTTTGTGTGTATGTGTCTATGTATGTATGTCTTGTGTGTGTCTATCTGTATGTGTGTGTGTATGTGTCTTGTGTCTGTCTGTGTGTATGTGTACCTGTCTGTTTGTATGTATGTGTACCTGTCTGTTTGTATGGATGTGTGTGTCTGTATGTATGTGTACCTGTCTGTTTGTATGGATGTGTGTGTCTGTATGTATGTGTACCTGTCTGTTTGTATGGATGTGTATCTGTATGTATGTGTACGTGTGTCTGTATGTATCTGTGCGTGTCTGTATGTATGTGTCTTTTGTGTGTGTGTGTGTGTGTGTCTGTATGTGTGCCTGTCTGTTTTTCTGTATGTATGTATGTATGTGTGCCTGTCTGTGTGTCTGTATGTGTGCCTGTCTAGGTGTGCCTGTCTGTGTGTGTCTGTATGTGTGCCTGTCTGTTTGTATGTATGTGTCTTTTTATGTGTGTGTGTATGTATGTGTGCCTGTCTGTTATAGTGGGCTATAGTAAGTGGGCTACCGAGCTAAGCCTTCCTACTGGGCATTGCTATAAGGAAGGTTAAAAAAATAGAAAAAAGGGATAAAAAAGGTGGGGAGGGGAATTGAGGAGGGAGATGAGATGAGCTGACGCACAGATGAAAAATCCTATTATGCGCAAACAGAGAAGTCGTCTGAATATCACCGAAAGAGGAGACCTTCGTTTGTTCCTTACGAAAATCGAACCAGATATCAAATATTTAGTCTTGCAGCATCAGCCTCAATGATCTCATTAATCACTAGTAAAGGTAATTTCAATTTACTTTATTGTTTTCCAATTAAAATTTATAAAGTTAAAAATATCATAAACATGCATTATGTAGAAATAAAAAGATAAATGTACGTACATTTATTATTTTTTTAAAACACCCTCCTTTCTAAAAAATATTCTGCACAGGTGGGCGGTAAGGAAATTTTTCCATCAAGAAAGATGCATTAGTGGGCGGTAGTTAGAAAAAGGTTGACTACCACTGGGGTAGATGAACAAATATGATTTGTAGGACTGGAGCAAGAGAAAATAACACAGCTGCTTCTTATAGTGAAAGAGGCAGGTGTGAAATCAGAATCAGATGGTGTGGAATTAGAGTGATAATGATTAAATTATAGGATACATTTGTCAGTAGTAGGGTACACGCACAACTGTAGGTCTAGGTCAGATTGAAAAAAACCAACACTTTCATCATGCTGCCCTAGACGTACATCACTTTCTAGTTTTTCAAGACCATATAGTTTTTCAAGACCAAATGGAAAACAGCACAGCAAGAAATGATTGCAGATGTTCTAGAGCAGCGATGCCCAAAAAGTAGATCCCCAGATGTTGTAGAACTACAACTCCCATGATGTTTTGCATGTATCTAGAATGTCTTTAGAATGACAAAGCATCAAGGGAACTTTAGTTTTAAAACATCTGGGGATCTACCTTGTGGGCACCCCTGTTCTAGAGCCTGGGTAGAAGTTAAAATTACTTTATATTCTGTGAAAAAGAAAAAAAAAATATAAAGTGATATTGAAGGCCAGAGGTGGCAGACACATGGCAGGAGACATAGCGTGGTACCTTGCATATTCTCTCGATTTGACAGATCACTGATAGACCCATGCCAAGAAATAGATTATTTTATTTTAAGAATGCAAATGTTTTTAAGTATAAACTAACCCCAAATTCTCTAGTGTCAAAAATTGGTGCTATTGGATGACAACTAAGCAATGAATGTAGACTTGTTGTTCCAAATGTTTTCAGAATTATGCATATATCAAAACTAAAGAACGCCATTAATGAGCATTTGTAAACATAAATATGCACAAAATTGACATTAGCCAGCTTGAAACTCTTACTCCAGGCTGGCTAACTTTATTCGCTCAAAGACTGGCCTCTCTGCTCCTGATCATATAAAAGCTGCCTGTGATTATAAAATAAATATAAAACAAATAAATAAAACTCATCCATTAAAAAACTATAGCTTTGTATTACAATAATAGGCTTTGAACTCAGTGAGTGGCTTGGTCCAGTAATAAATGCCTGCCATTGCCATCCAATATTCAATGTCTTTAAAATGCAAAATGAAGTGTCAACATGGATAGACATTGGGTACTAAGAAAGCACTGCCTTTTATTAAACCACTCGAAAATGCATTGACAAAAATGGGGAAGAGAGTCCTAAATGGCTCCTTCTACAATAACCACTAAGTAAACTATAATGATGGTCCCTTTAACCTTCTATTCACCTTCCCCTTTCATTAACACCCTATGTAATGGACGCTTGAACAGTAAATGCATTTGTATGACACTAGAATAAAATGATTTTTCCAACACCTTCCAACAGTTCCCACGTGTGGGCTGCATGCTTAATAATGTGTAAAATAAAATGGCAGCAATGCTGGAAAAATGGCTGTGGTTTCATAGGAGGTTTTAAACATTGAAAACAAATGTATAACTTTATTAACATCAATACATATAACAAAAATAAACTCTTGGCATACATCAGATCCCAGTGTACAAACTGAATTTAAAACAGCTGAACAGTTTGGACAAAAATATGTTGAGATATACAAAAATATTTTATATTGTACTTTTATTTCATTATCAATTGCACATTGCCTCATAAACATAGGGCTTTACAAAATATTTTTGCTTGAGGCCTGTAATCCATAATTGCCTTATATGCATGTAAATGTATCTATACATTACCATTTTAAATGTTAGTAGTCATGATATACGAGTCATACTCCCAAGGACATCTCTTTCATATATATTTACGTCACAAAATTTTGAGGCAAGGTGCAAAGCAGTGAATATATACTGCTTCCCAAAATCCAGTCCAACATCAGCAGCCAATCAAATGAAACTATAAAGCACTTTGTAAACAACCCACACTTTTGTTACGTCTGCCACGTATCTACATTAGACTTCTCTCCATTTACACCACATGCAATGCAATAACCAATATCAAGCTGTCCCATAGTTATTCTTACATTTACATTAGATTTTTAAAATTGTCATCAACATTTTACAGGAAAAGAAAAAGTTAAAAAATGAGGCACGAAACACCAATTTTAGCTCTGTAATTTATTACACATATACAGAATCAAAAAACTGTAACAAAAGTGCAGGTAGAGACATCAAAGGGGGCAGGGATGATAAAATGACCCCACATCAGGATGTTTCTGGGCACACAAGTAAAGCTCTTTTAGTCCAATTTTTCTCTGCAATTTATATTGTTTTCTTGTATCTAAAAAAACTTGCAGAAATTATAGTAATTTTGTAAAAATTCGGTAATGTATTTTTACAGTTAACATCTAATGTTATTCAGGGGAATACATGAATTGACATATGATGATTATAATGCTGAATATCACAGAAAACAAGACAATTTGGATTTACTGAATATTAGAGATGCCTGTAAATGACAGCATAGAGTATAATATTAGGAAAAAATGACAAGCAAAGAGAATAAATATTAACAAATGAGTTGCTGATAAACAGAGCAGAAGGCAAAATGTAACTGAAATGAACAGAAATGGTTTAAAACAGACAGCGGGAGATACGGAACACATGAGAGTCATTGTGCCTAAAGAAAAATGGAATGTTAAAAAAAAAATAAGGACTACACAACACAATGCATTGCTAATAAATTGTGCTAAGGACTGAGCAGAACTGACATAAAGGCATAGACAAAAGAAAAGAAAAAAAGCCTAGATGGGGAGGGGAGTCTCATACTTCTCCTCTGATGCTGCTCCTAGAATAGCAAATGATGTGTGTGATCACTGAACAGTACACATGAAGCTCACGTCTCTTACTATGACGCTTCTTCTTAACCAATCCTACTCCTATTTACCCACAATGCTCCCCTCTAGCCTAGGATGTCACCCAGAGCTGCAGAGTCACTCTCACACCAGGGCCTGCTTACTGGCATGTTACTGTGCCATCACTTATTTAATTATAGTGCTTTCTTTTCATCCTGTTTTCAGCAGTGCATCACGTAACTCCTTAACTCTTGTGATCCCTGACCAGCACACATCTATATATACACATATGTATACGTACATGCCTATAAAAAGTATTACAAACATTATCAATAGAAAGAAAAACATTATCGTCATATGAAGAAATGCGTATGTATCATATGATAGATCATTATTAGCATTCTCTGCAGTGCTTTACAATTATACAATTAAATTATTTACACACAAGTAATAGACGAACAGAAATAAAATAAAAAAAGGAAATGGGTTCTCACTATATCAGAGACATCAGGGCAACAGTAACACTAATACAACACGCATTAGAAAATTGTACATTTAAGTTACAACTAGTAGGTACTTTGTTTAACCCCTTAGTGACCAGACCATTTTTCAATTTTCTTACCGTTAAGGACTAGGGTTGTTTTTAAATTTCTGCAGTGTTTGTGTTTAGCTGTAAATTTCCTCTTACTAATTTACTGTACTTACACATATTATATATTGTGTTTCTTGCCATTAAATGGTCTTTTCAAAGATACCATTATTTTCATATCATATAATTTACTATAATAAAATATAAAATATGATGAAATACTGTAAAAAAAACAATCACTTTTTTTAACTTTGACCCCCAAAATCTGTTACGCATCTACAACCACCAAAAAACACTCATGCTAAATAATTTCTAAATTTTGTCCTGAGTTTACAAATACCCAATGTTAACATGTTCTTAGGTTTTTTTTTGGAACGTTATAGGGCTATAAGTACAAGTAGGGCATTGCTGTTTCAATATATATATATTTTAAAATGTATCAATAGTGACATTGTAACACTTATCTGTCATATCTCTGAATCACACCTCACATGTACATTTTTTTTAAAGTAGACAACCCAGGGTATTCAATATGGGGTATTTCCAGTCTATTTAAGTAGCCACTTAGTCACAAACTAAGCCAAAGTTAGAATTTATATTTGTTTGTGTGTTAAAAATGCAAAAAACAATTATGAACGCTAACTTTGGCCAGTGTTTGTGACTTAGTGGCTACTAAAAAAGACTGAACATACCCCATTTGCAATAACTGGGTTTTGTCTTCTTTTGGAAATGGTATGGCATCATGGGGGTAATTCTCATTCCTGGGCTACCATATGCTCTAAAAAGCAACATAACCAATCTGGCAAATTTTAACGTAAAAAAAATATAAATAAATAAAATGGAAAATCAAGCCTTATATTTGACCCTGTAATGTTCCAAAATACCATAAAACCTGACACAAATATTAGTGTTTCAAAACAGTAAAACATATCACAACAATGATATAATTAGTCAAAGTGCTGTTTGTGTAAAAAATATGCAAAAACGTCACTTTCACTGACAATATCATCGCTGTGATATGTTTTACTGTTTTGAAACACTAATATTTGTGTTCAGCGAAGTCTACAGAGTAAAACAGTACCCCCAGGTTTTAGGGTGTCATGAAAAGTTACAGGGTTAAATATAGTACCAGCAAATTAAATTCTCTGGACTTTTGGCCTTGGTTGTCCCCCAAATTGCAATCAATAAAATGACTTAATTATGTAAAAATATTACATAAATATGCACGTATAATTTCAAAAAATATATATATATATACATACACATATTTATATATTTGAAGTCTATGTGTATATTTATGTAATTATGTATATGGACAAATGAAAATTTCATATTATTTTTATTTATGTGTATTTTGTATTTATATGTATTTTGCTATAAATATATATATGAATATCAAAATACAGTTAGAATAAAATTATATATATATATATATATATATATATAAATAATTGAAAATTTGTTTTAATTATATTTACATATTTTAATTTATTTTAGATTAATTATTATTTCTTTTTATATATATGCGGAGTCACAAATTTTCGGAAGTGCCAAACCGAAGTGCAGAATTCCTGAATTTCTGTAGTCTCGAATTTTGGAAGTGCCAAACAGAACAGAGTTTTTTACCCATGCACATCCCTATTAAATGTATACTTACTTATATTGTGATAAATATGACATGTATACCGTGAAACAACTTGCTCCAATCGCACTAACAACTAGTGCAGGATGTGAGGTAACTGTAGTAATACCTCTCATACAACAGAGCGCCCAATTTCCAACTTCTGGGACTGCTCATCATGCCCGGGATAGCCATTACCCCATCAGCGGGAAGTGCTTGTTCCGTCTGGAACTGTAATTCAAACTCTAATTCAAATAGGGACAATGGTGGCTGCTCAGTACACATTCATGCCCATGGATGCCCAGAGGAGAGCTAACTGGAGGGGTAGTGGAGGACGTTGAGGGCTATGGGAACACACTGAAAGTCAAGGGAGGTCCCCTTCCATTGAGTTAGAGAGAATTGTTCCTTCTGACTGACACTTACCTGGTAATCTGCGTTGGATCGGAGATTTGCCACAGCCCTATCAAAATGTACACAACAATTATTCAGGCTGGATACCTCCGACCTGAGCACTTTTTTGCCATTTTACTCTTGGGAGCTAGCACAGTCGAGGGATGTATAACATGTCGCTATTGTGTATGATGAAACCAATGTTTTGGGGTTACCATTGTATGTTGCCCTGTTGTCAGAATGTAAATAAAATAATTCCCCAGTTATTTGAGTTATCCCATAGACACAGAGATGCCGGGGAAGGGATCCATTGTTCATGTTGATCACCATTTTTTGGAAATGTTGCTATAAATATGTGCAAGTTGTGCCGCTATAATCACTTCTTTGATTCTACTTCATTTATAGGTAAACTTTGAAGGAGGTACTCAGAGTACAAGAGTTCCATCCCATTCATTAGGACAGCTTTTTATTTTCACGCAACGGTTCTCCCTATTTAAAAAATGAGAATAACTACTTTGTATATATAAGGTATAGCTGCATAATATTTTGTCTGTACAGTATATTTGCTTATATTGTGATAAATGTTGCATGTGTACCTAAAAAAAAATTGATTGACAAAAACCCTACAAAACAGTGAACGAGCCGTGACTCTGTTGCAGTTAGTACAGTGACCATATCTGTACATCCCTTTGACATGTGTAAACTAGTTATAGAGTGTTTGACTGGATTCTTAAAATATTTATTTGATGGTGCCTTGATGTTCTTAGACCTTTTGCAGACAATGATTGGTTTCTCTTGATATAGGTCCCCGGTTTTAGGGTCACTTTGTAACACATGCCAATGTTTATTAACAACATGTTTGACTTTGCCCATATTGGATCAGAATGTAGTTACACGAGGAAAAAACTTCAGACTTTTATTCTTACCAGAAGGCTTTAGTAGTGTCTTTGTCTTCCGAGATGCATAACCACCTAGCAAAGCGTGTGGGTATGCGGCAGCCTCCTGGAGTCAAATCAGTGGCGGATCGGGGGGGGGAGGGGTGCAACAGGGCAATTGCCCTCCCACCCTGAAAAAATAGAAAGAAAAAAAAATAGTACTGCGCTCCCTCTCCCTTGCCTCTCCTCCAATCTTCCCTGCAGGGCCGGCGCTATCCAAGCACCAGCCCTGATATGTGCCTTCACAGACCAGCAGGGAGATTAGAGATCTCCCCTCCAGCCCATAGGCACATTGTGGACAGCCGGCAAGGGAGGGAGAGAGGACCCGGTGGAGCTCAGCCTGCCGCCATGACAATGCTCCGAATCTCGCGAGAGTGAACTCTAGCCTGAGCTGCAGGCTAGAATTCACTCCCACCTGACTACCAGGGATTCGCCACCGGACCACCAGTGTTTGCAGGAAATATCCCCTCTCTGAGCAAAGGTAAGAAGGGAGGGGGATAAAAAAAAAAGTAATCATTTTTTAATACAAAAAATAAGTTTAATTTGCTCCCACTGGCACCCCCCAAAAATATATTGCCCTCACACACACAGCACTCCTTAATGCACCCTTCAACACACACACACACACACACACACACACACACACACACTGCATCTCTCACTCACACACACTGTCCCCATACACACACTGCCCCTATACACTTACTGCAACCCTCACTCACACACTGCCCCCCATACACTCACTGCACACCCCACATACAGTTCATCCCCATACACACACAGTACCCCTCACTCACACACACTGCAAACCTCACTCGCACACACTGCCCCTACACTTATTGCTCCCCTCACACACACACACACTGCACCCCTAACACACACTTCACACCTCACACACTGCCCCAATACACTCACTGCACCCCTACACACACTGCCGCCCCATACACTCACTGCACACCCCAACACACTATTCCCCCATACACACACACACAGCACCCCCCACTCACACACTGCCCCCATACACTCACTGCACTCCTCACTCACACACACTGCCCCTCCTCTAACTGCACCCCTCACACACACACACTGCACCACTCACTCACACACTGCCCCCAGACACTCACTGCACCCTCACTCACAAACAGCCCCCATACACTCACTGCACCCCACACACAGCACTCTCACTCACACACACTCACTGCAACCCTCACTCACACACACTGCACCCCTCAAACACACTGCACCCCTCACACACTTACTGCACCCCTCACACACACACACACTGCACCCCCCACACACATTGCATCTCTCACACACATAGACACTCATAGACACAACTGTATCCCTCACACACACTACACCCCTCATTCACACACACTGTATCCCTCTCACACACTACACCCCATCATGCACAAACACACACTGTATTCCTCTCACAAACAGTA